GTGTAGATATGCACAAGGTCACATACATGCAAGTCTGAATTTCCTATGCTGGTTAAAAAACAAACAAACAAACAACAGAAAAACAAAAAAAACCTCAATGGATCCTGAAACCTCTAGGCTAATCTTTTACCAACAGTAGAAATACAAATTTTAAAGAACATCACCCCTAGGTAGCACTTACTGGAGCAGAAAATGCTGCAGATGTGCACAGGGATTGTCTATCCAAATGCTGCCCCAACCTATGCTAAAGGTAAACCCTGGCTGCCTGAGCTGGCTATGCTGGTGTCACTCTGTTTAGGAACCTCCCTACACCAGGAAGAAATGCAGCATCTCCTGATTTCTAACACTAAGTGATGCAAAGCAGCCAAAAGGTGAATACGTGAACTCTCACATTATTTCTTCTCTGCTGCTTTGGATGCAACCTGCCTCAGGGACAAAAATTTGTAACTAATACCTCAAATCAATGTGCCTGCCACTTTGCTGCCACAAGTGTTCAGTTTTTCACTTCATCTCATTTTTAGCTTAGGTATGAATCCCATAAACAATTGCATTCACGTTAATTTGCGGGATCAGAGCCTTGAGGCAGTAACCGTCTTTCACCGTATGTTTGTGTAACACTCAAGGCTACTAGGGGCAGCTCAAACCCACAACAGTAACTCAACAAGATGTGAGTTAACTGATCCGTAAAGATGAAGCCAAACAATGACAGAAATCGGCACAAGTAGTTATCCTTAATATTTAGCAATGGTTCCTATCCACTCAAATCTGCTCCCTTTACTGCTTAACTCCTACTAGTCCTACAGAGTCAACAACACTGGAAAGACAGGGAAGATTTTAATCCATCACATGTCTTACCAAAACCATTCTACTGTGGCTGCCACTTACACTGCACAGGTGTGTAACTCCAAAGATGTCACAATGAAACACTAATTTCACAGATGTAGCAAACTCAAAGTCTTTGACTCGCACAACCACCATCACATTATCTTTGCTTTGCACAGTCAGAAGCTGTTAGGAGTGCAAGAAGCCCTCTTAGATATCAGCTTGGTCCTTACAGGTGGCAGTCTTACTTATGTAGCGCATAGTTAAGAATTCATTGCAAAACAGCAATTCACAAAATACCACTGTTGAAAGCAGATCTGACCCTTGGGCTCTACTCTTATCTCTACGACTGCCTGATGCGGTTGCACAAAAGAACAGGAAAGCAGCACAGCAGGACTAGGCAGAGTTCTAGGAGCTGTGGCTTAAAAACAGAGTTCCTTCTGCTTCAACAGATACTTCAGACACCCTCATATCTTACTTCTAAAAGCCCAACAAATCATTTTAAATCCTGCTCTAAATAAAGTCACAAATGTTTGCCACAGCTGAATGAATGACACAGCCTGGGATTAGCAGGCAGCGCACAGAAGCTGTTTGGCAGAAGACTGCTCAGTTTTCCATGGCTGAAATTTTTGAGGTGACAGCTCAAGTCCGCTAGAGATGATTAGCTCAGGGGCAGCACCATGAACAACTGCATTAATCTGTAACCAGAGAAAATAAAACCTATTAAACTCAGTTCTGGGTGTCTTCTGAAAACTGCGAGCGGGGCACTACCTGCATCAACATTTTTCCAACGCTTGGGAAAAAAAAAATCAGCTACTTCTACTCAGTTCAAGAGTGGAATCAGTATTTCAAGTGCAGTGGATATTGGCGCTATTAGCTGCTAACATCCTGCATAACACCAAATCCCTGACTGAATCAAACTAGAGGAGTGTTGCATGAGTTGGTTATTGAACAGAAAAAGCAAAAGCATTGGTTATGGCATGGTCATACTGACCTTCAACTGGCCCAGAATCAGAACAGTAATAAGATGCCTTAGAATTTATATTTGGTACAGCCTGCATAAGAAAGAATACAAATATACATAATAAAATAATGATTATTGCTTATGTCTTTATATCACTAATTAAGATTTGTTCAAATTCAATAGCAATGCAAGAAGTTGGGCCGTAACTCATCTGTAAAAACATTATGTATCTCTGTACAGCAGAGAAACCCCTGTTAGGATGGCTTTTTCATTGTCAGGCTAGCTTTAGTGCAATGTAAAGGCAATGTACAAGTTGCCCCCAAAAATAAAAATAAAATAAATAAATCCATGGAATGGATTCCAGGGATTTAAGTCCACAACATGCAAAATACTTAAAGTTTTAATAAACCTAGCTAAAAAAAAAAACAAAACACACACACACACACACACCCCAACTCTCTCCTCTTGACACGTTCTCTACATGTATTATCATCTCACCAGTCACTTACTGCTGTAATCTAGGCATCATCTGCTCCACGGACTTCCCTGTAGGCTCTTCTACCCATGCTGAATATTAACTCTACTTTCTTATGTTCCAATCCATGCTCACAAACAGCATGACCAGCCAGATTCCATGAGCTGGCTTCTCAGTACTACAATTTTTTTTTTTTTTTTAAACCACAGCCAGGAACGTTTCCTCAGAGACACCCATCAAACTCACAAGACTTCAAAAAAAAATTCAAATTATTTTGGGTTTTTTTTTGAAGTAACTCAGGACCTCTTCTAGATCCTCATATGTTATTAAAAATAATTGTAGAGAATTTTCATATTCACACACAGAGAGCTAAATAAAACATGGTTTCACAATCTTGTGAAAAGATTAACTGCTTTTTTATTAAAGATACTAATTTTAAACAAGAGCAGAGTCCTTAAAGCCTGAGAAGCTTAAGAATTATGAAAATATTTCTAAAAATATGTTACAAAACTGCTGAAATTTTTCATTAGTACCCACTACTGCATTGGAAACAAGCTGTTACAAAGCTTATTGTGACATTTCATGCACAGAACCAGAGCATTGCTTTAGCTTTTCTAAAATTAAAGCTCAAATAGATCTTTGTTTCAATTGAAATCTAGGCATCTATTTTCAGTTCTCCATTGTCCCGGATATTTTGAATGGATATATGAAACCATTTTATTTGAGCAAGACTACAGACGCAAGTCCCTAACAGCATAGTTATAATACGGTTACATAGAAGTTCAAGCTAATGAGAAACATCAACACATAACTATTCTCTGTTTCTACCAGTTAATGACAGACTAGGAAGAAGATAACCACATTCCTTTTTAAGAGAAAATAATCACAGTATGGAATCCAGGACTGAGTATTTAAGTGTTAGACATGAAGACTACTATTAACTTCAACAAGACAATTACTTCCATTTAAAAGCTGCTGTAGTCATGAACACACTTTGATCATTTCTCGATCCTCAGTTACAGCTTGCTCACATTGAAATATGCCAGTATTTCCTGACTGGGCGTGTACCTAGCACTGCCTACTCATAACTGAATTAGCTTTAGTTTTGCATTTCAAATATATTAAAAGTCTTTCGGTGAGTTTTTTTTTTTTTTAAAAGAATAACCACCAAGTATGTATACTAGATAGTGGAAAAGGTTGACACTGTCTAGATCATAAAAAAATATTAAATTACTTCATGAGACAGAAACCAGATGAAGCATTTCATAAGCAAATGCTACCATGGCTTAGACAAGAGAGAAAGTATTTCCAAAAACTTACACATTTGACTCACAAAATGGATAACATTTATCAATTTCTCCAAGAAGTCAACACACACATTTATTTGGTTGACAATTCACAGGAGATGTGGTAGCCAGAAATGCATATAATTTTTATTTTTATTGGGCAATTACCTTAAGGTTACCAAACCTATTTCAAAATTTAACTTTGCATAGTTTGGTTTCTCCACCTCACCTTATTGTCACAGCTCTTCAACAACTGCACTTTCTTATTTGAATTAATTCAGAATTAGAAATATAGTTTACTGATAAAATATTTGTGCACTGAAACAAAAAGTAAACTGAAATCATTCCTGTAAGTTCTTGCACCTGACCTCAGCCATGTCATGCTTGCACCAGGCTACTGCCTTACCTCAAAACGCAGGAAGCGCCTCAAACAAGTCCCTCCACTCTTCCCCAAGAGCAACAATGAGTTAAACCACGACAAACCCGCCGGGCAAGCCCTACCCTTTCCCAGTGCGACGAGAACCTTTTTGTTATGACAATCTCTCAAGTTAAGTTTTACTCTGAATTTTATCCTGCACAAAACAGGATAAATTTGCACTTCCTGAGGTATTTGTTCTAAAGAGACAACTTTAAAAGAGGGCTCTACTACCAGCCTAATATCCTGTTTCGGTTGTAGAAGTGATCCGATGTATCACTAACAGCAAAGATTTCCAAATTTCAGCCCTCAGCCCAGGAGCTTCAGCTACACAAAGGTCAAATTAGAAGTTAAAGTCTTGTGTTCCAGAAAAATTCCCCTCGTTCTCTGGAACACTTATAACTCATAGAAAAAATATACTCCTGAACAACCAAATATAATTATTAGTTAACACACTTAAAGATGCTAAATATAGACGTAAGACCCATAATCAATTCTATTAAACCTTTCCCCTTTCTATACTTCCATTCCCCCACATAATGGATTTTGTTCAGACAAATGAACTGAAAATACTGAGACAGCATTATTTTAATCTCATTAAATAGTTATATCCTGGAGATACCTACTGAACTTTCCCTGAACACAAAAATGTAACATTAGTATCTCTTTCCTCTAAGATGCCAGCAGCTTGCTACTATTCTTTAAAGCCCAGAAGAAAGTTCTCTCCCAACCGGCATGTTTTACATTATATTAAAACATCATAAAATACTTCTAGAATACAGACATATTTCTTAAATTTAGTAATTAAGTGACTTGGCAACTCAACCTGTAAACACTGGGAATTCATTGATTAAGTCTAAAATGCTCAATTATGCACAGGAAAAAAATAAATCAGAGGCCACTGTTTTCTAACACAGCAAAAGACAGACGCTCTGCAGAAAAGCAAGATGACCATTTAGGATTGTTTAATATTTAAGGCCAATCTTTACCGAAAAAAAATTTTTTTTCGCTTTTCTGACAAGAAGCCACACTGAAAAGTTATTTTATATTTTTATTGTATGTCAAAGTTCATTAAAGATGGGGTTTTGCTTGTATACAAGTTACTCAAAAATTGTGTTTAGGCAGAGATTCATTAGCAATCTGACTTATTTGAAAGCATAAGTTTGTTAAGTTCAACCAGGCCACCAAAATAATATCGTGTACAAGCAGTAACTAAGAAGAGCTGCAAGGTTCAAGGAGTTCCAAATATTACAGATCTTGAGATCTCAAAAGGAAATTAAAAAAATAACAAATAAAAGCAGTCACAATATAAAATAGCAGCTCCATGTAGCTTTTTCAAGTTTTAACTTTATTCAGAAAGTGACACTTAGTTCAGTTTGCCTCATTCTTTGAAGCTTCATCGAAGTTTTCAACAAGATCTAGAAAAAGAAAAATATTGAAATTAGTGTTACCCACTTCTGCTTTGCCAAATTATTTGCTTGAGTTTGTATCAAGTACTTATGATGTGAAAGAACTTCAGCTTATAAAATACAGACTTGGTAAATTTAAGGCCTTCATGATTCATTCTTAGTTAAAGCAAGAAATTTTAAGTCCTTCATTAGAAAGCACAACTCTAAGTACTTTTATCTTCACTATACCCACCACTGAACAAAGGGATACTGAAAAGTTAGCTTCTTCCCACCCTTCTTATTGAATATCAAAGTAATTGTTATGTTAGCCATAGCTATTACTCCTACATAGGACTAAAATGCTATCTCAAACTAATGATCTATCCAGTCTCGCACGGTATCTGAAAATTGCCAGTACTGAATGCTCTAACGTGTAAAACTTCCACAGTCAGTAATGACAGGATAACCTGTTCATAGGAATGTTTTAATATTCTTGCTTTCCTTTGCCCAGTATTTGCTACACGTCATCTCTCAGCAAGATTCACAACTTCCTTTTCCTCCATTTCATGTTTGTTCTTACCTGGAACTTCATCATCATCCTCTTCACCAGTAGCAAGTGGTGCTTTTCCATCCACAGCTGCAATAGCAAATAGTCCAAAAGGATCATTCAAGCTTACCACAGGCATCTTTATTAAAAAGGGTGCTTTTCTATCTTGTTTTGGTTTTTTTTTTTTTTTGAAACAAACTTTATCAAAAAGGTTGAACTAAACTGCAATGCTCCATACTGTTGCCCCACTGAATACAAATTTAGAATGATCAGTAACAAAAGGAATGTGAACTTCCGAGTGAACTAGGTGCATGTTCCGAGATAGCCTATCAGGGAAACAAGAAGATGCATGCTACAACCAGTTTACTAGTCAGCAACTTGTGGGGTAATCATTTTTAGCTACAAGTGCAAAGACTGGGACTTTTCTCTTAACAGCAGTTTAATTTATTGACTACTCCATAGTTCTTCAAGTGGTTCTCTACCTATTTTACAACATCAACAAGTTAAAAGAAAAAGAAAGGATTCAAGTCCTTCTTATGAGCTTAGACCTTCAAAGAAAACTAAGCTTTAACTGTTAAGCTGCAGGCAGGCAAAGATAGCTAGAGGCTGTTAAAGATATTATTGTTCCTTGGCAAAGTCAGTGGAACCGGATCACACGTTCCGGTCCACATCTCTGCTGACACAGTAACTTCTTAACTATTCCAATTTATATTTGCCAGCGCTAACTAGACTTAGCCATGTCCATTCTAGCAGACCAATGAACACTGGTGAAACTGGAGCAGTATAATGCTAAGAATAGATACCTCAGGGCCCAAGGGTGCCTCTGCCACAACTTTCCTGCTATTCTTAGCTATACCACCAAGGCTGAACTGTCTCAAACTCCCAATCATCTCAGTTTATCCAAATTAATCCTTCTCAAATTTCAAGCAAAGCATGAGGAAAGATATAGATTCACATCAGATCTCCAAAATCACTGCACCCTCATTCTTGGGGAACTAGAACAAATGAATTCATAATCTTCAGTCTGGAGGGGCTTGGGACAAGGTCGCTGAGAACCCTCCTTTTGTTTTTTACAGCAGAAAGCTTTTACAGCTTTAATGCATCTAAGTGTCAAGTACTACATTCTAAAACTGAACCATGTTATTTCCTCCATAAATTTCACAGGATGTACTTAACACTAAAAGCCTTGATTGGCTTAAAAGCCAATATTCTAACTTGTCTGTATTCTCTCTCATGCACAAAACCGGACTAAGTTTACTTTAGCACCTGCAAAAGCAAGCATCACAGACAGGTCACTCTTTGATGTTAGACTTCCAAATCTAACAATGCAGTAAACAATGCTGAATGGAAAGTTTTGTGCAACTGCTCTGGCATCCACCCAAAGTGGAAAGTGACAACTATTTACCAAGTCATGTAAGATAAGCACTTTAAACGAGCCTCCTTAATATTAAACTGTGCAATTTTGCCTGTCTTCGATATATCCACCTTGTTATTAGAAGAAAGCTCTCGTCTACTATCATCTTAAGAGACCATTTTAAAACCTCCAAGTTTTCTCATCGTCCTATTCCTACCACAAGGAAGTCACTCAGGTGACATTATGAAGGAGAGATCTGAGCTCCATGTGGAAAGAAGCACTGTACCCACCTCTGGAAGACTACTTTTAGCAGGATTTCTTTCAAGGTGGGAAACTGAAGGGAGGCAAGTAGCATAAACTTTAGGAATGGAAATAGAGGTTGAATCTATCACAGGGAGGAAAATCAGATACAAAAATCTCCTCAAAGCTAAGAATGCGGAGATTAAGAACAAAACATTACTTTATATAAAAGCATGTCCTTGCTGGCAACAAAGCACAACAAGAAGATATGCAAACACCAATCCCATTACTACCAGGAACTGGACACTTTCATAAGCCTCTCCCATTTTCTCTGTGTTTAGGATATTCTGTACCTTGGAGGGAATGGACTTCAAATATTTGAGAAGAGGAACTAGGAAGACCCTACAGCAGGGAATGGGGAATGTTCCTAGTGTCAATAAGACTTTCACTCCCAATTCTCACCCTGTAGCAGCAGCACCTTTTCCAAACACCTCATGCTAAGGGCCTCATCTACTTTTCCCTCCTGCAGTGTTAGGCAGAACAGATGTTCAGGTTCTCTTGCTAATTTAAGGATGTGGAAGAGGAAGTTGGTGTTATCTAGCTTAATGCTCGTACCAGTCCTGTTCTCTACAGTTTTAAACACACAGATATTATAACATCTTTCCTTACAAATACTGCATATTGGCTATCAAAAAAGCCTATGTAGGAAGAAATACCTGCACCATACCTGATAGGACAGAACAGTAGCAAGACTTATTAATACCTCAAGTCCCTCTCCGCAAGTAATTACTTATGTTTCCATTCCAACTGTCAAAACAAACATGCTGAAAGTAAATCATCTTTGAAAACCTAACTTCTCTAGAGTAACCAATCTACCTAGTATTAAAGAACTACATAAAGTCAAACTACGGTAGCCACATCAAGATGTTAACTAGCATGAAATCAAGTCCAGCTACAATTTAATAGTCCTAGACCAACTGCAGCTATACAAGTAAGCTATGTATATCAGCGGCCATCAAAAAACATATTCAAGGTTCAACTTACGTTGCTTGGGTAGGGCTTCTGCCAATCTCCTCAGGCTGGTCAGACTGTCAGCTCCAAGCTGATTTAAGATGCTCGGAAGCATTTCTGTTAGCTGCTTTGTCTCAGCATGCCCAGTGATAGTGAAAGTGTTGGCAGCCAGAGATGCCTGAACTTTAGGGTTATTGAAGTGAATGACTGTTCCTTGGTTGGTAAACATATTTACCTGCAAGAAAAATTCCACATTTCAAGTAGTTTTGCACCATGTTTTCAATTTAACAGGAAACTAGCTGAAGCTGCTAAAGCTCCACAAAGACTTGTTGGTAATTTACAGATAAATTTAAGCTGTTACTTACCAGGAAATTTATTTTGATACATTTTATGTTTCTATATTAAATTAAGCATCTTTTTTCCTTAAAAGCAATTACCTCTTCAATACCAGAAATATTGTTGACTCCCAGTTTTTTCAAAGAGAACTGAAGTTTCTTGTCATCTGCTGTAGCTGTTCTGTGGACAACCTTCTTCTTTCTGCGGGCAGTACCCTTTGGGAAAAAAGTTACAAATTAACATTTAAGTAGCTCTCCACAAACTCTAACCCACAGGGCCACATAACTACTCTGCAGGTATCTACAAATCAACTTAATAATACAAAGTTCCGTTTCTGTGTTATGGTGCACACCACTCCTCCCACTGCAGCGCAGCAGTCTTTTCCCTTGCTATTAGGCAAGTTTTGCCTGTTTTTTTGCTAGTAGTAGTGGAAGATTTTAGGAACCAACGCACTAAAGAGCCACAATTCTCATGAAGATTCTGCAGCACCCCACTTTGAAAAGAAAGACGTTTATCGTTCCTTGTGGTAGCCAAATTTTGATATAGGAAATCAGGGACCATAAAATTACCAACACGTCATAAACAAATAAATATGAGAAAACCCTGAACATTCCATTTTTATTCCAAATGGACATCTCCATCTGATGGACTTACACTATGTTTGTGCAAAACTTTCATTTTGCCAAAATATTTAAAAACATATATATTTTAAAAGTACTTCTAAATAGTATTCTAGATCACCTCTGTTAAGAAAGGGAAACATGTACAAAGGCAAAGTTCGTTTAGAGAAACAGAGCCCTAGATTTCTCCAAGGATATAACTGACCCATATTAGAAAATACTTCCATCTACCAAAAAGAAAAAAAAAGTATCATTCAATATTTCCTGGCACTATCATAAGCCTTCAGTAAAATATGACATAAAGCAGCTAGGAACAGCTTAAGGTACTATTAAGCTCCTTTTTGCTACACTATCACTACTGATCTAAGTCCATCTACTCCAGTTTCTGGTCTGTTACACGCTAGCAGCAAGAAAACGTTGATGCCCAACTGTCTGAATGGCTACAATACCCAGAGTGAACTGACAGAAATTAAAAATTTGGCTGCACACTAACATCTCCAGCATAATGTAATCACAAACAACGAGAAATGTTAATAGACAAAGTCAGGTGAAACCAGCACTTCGTAGATTTCAATTCCAAGGTTAGGTCTTCTGTCTGGAGAGCTTGATGTTCATTCCCCACTAATGTCAGCTGAGCGCACAGAGTAATATGAAAACTACTAAAACCAGAAAAATGACTTAAATTAAGTACCTTGGCTACCTAGGAACTGAGCCACATGAACGCTACATAAGTTTCTCACGACAAAAGACCTTTTGAATGAATTTCAAGAATTATGTCTTGCATAAGTCAATGGCAATATAGGAAATGTACCCGCTTTATACCAGTACAAACAAGTAACAACAAATATCAAACTTCAGACAATCTGAATCTAGTTGAAATTTACAGCTATTGTATTCATCTCTATGGATTTAAGCTTCTAAAGAATATAGGCTGTAGTAAGCAAATTCTATCCTGATCATGCTGAGGCATGCTACTTACACAGCTGTACCTCTGTACTACAGAAAAGCGGGCACACACAGGCCACAAATAGAATACAACACAGATTCATCTGCCAGTCCTCCTCTAAAAAGGTTTGGAATAAAAGCCATGACATTAAGCTGTACCAATACCCTCCACAAAAATCTCAAGTTTCACATAGCAAAGTACGACAACATTCATCCACCTAAATACAATAGTTAGCGTATCTGTAAGGTCTGCAGCCTTGCAGTATCATGAAAATCTTCCAGCAGAAGTGTAGCCTTTTCTCACAATAAGGAGAACTAATTCTTTTCCTTCTCCTCCTCCATTCCCAAAGTAAAGCGCCTGTCTCAGTTGATTGGTGACATTACTCTGAAAAATTTTAGTAGTAATTTCCGGTTACAAAGCAAATAAAACTCAGCTTTAAGTATTCAATTTCACAAACTAATTTGAGAACTGAATGACAGCATTGCCAGAACATTCTAAGCTTGATTTAATGTCTCTAGAAGACCCATAGTGCCCACAAGAACTATTTGCTTAGTTTCAATAAAAGGTGTAATCTGGATACTTGCAAGTGATCAATGTTAAAAATCTCTGTAGTCAACACAGGTAACACACATACAATCATCAATATGATACAGCAGTTTTGTGCTCAACAAGCATCCCACACACAGCATATGGGGAACTACGTGCCAGTTAAGCACTAGATTTATGCTGATTTAAGGCTGTCTAAATCTCTATTTACACGCAAAAGCTTCAACACATGAATGAAGGCTACTAGAAATTCCATTAATAAAAATTCTATTAAATAGTTTTGTTCTAAAATATTCTGTTCATTTCTTCAATATAAACAAGTTCTTGCTGTAAAACTCAAACTAGAATTTAAACATTTCCTAGCACAAGACCGACCATGTTCCCAATATTTTTTGGCTTCCAGATTACTGCACGCCTATGTAAATTTGGATATCATAATAAAATAAAAAGATCTTCCAAATATGTTATGCCCTCCAGTTCCACAATGATAATATTAGGGCAACTACAAAAATTCCAAATATGTCCTGGAGAGCAAAAAAAAAAAAAAACCACCCGTGGCCAAGTCAAGGATTCGCAGCTAGCATATGGAACATAATCCTCAACACTTTGTAATGAAAACTCTGCCTGAACTCACTTACTGTGAGCTCCACTTACTTCAAATCATAAAGACCTCTTAGCACAGCCTGCACAAGAATACAAGCAGTAAGAAACGGCTCAGATAGAAACGGCTAGAGGTTCGGCCATTATGTTCTGCTTCTACTGAACCGAATGAGGATTGCCACAGCAGCACAGGTTCCCCGGGACCGTCCAGCAGAGCTGAGCGCCCTCAGGGCCGCTCCCAGCCCGGCTTTCAGGGCTTC